GAATTTAGTATTTAAGCATATGGGCCTGTGTGACTGATCATGAGTAATGTGTGAAGTCTGTTAACACAACAGGGAACAGAACCTGAACTCCAAGTAGTATCAGAATCATCCGTCCAAATGAGTGTCAATATAGGGATTTGCAAAACTCTAGAACTCTTGGTTCAGAGATGTTACCTTTTATTAGATCTACTAAGAAATCACACACAAAAAATATCTTTTTCTGCAAGTTTCAGGCTCACACACCCTTCATCAGGCTCAGGGAAAATTAAAGATGGTTTAATCTATAATTTTCCCTGAGCCTGATGAAGTGTATGTGAGCCTGAAAGCTTGCAGAAAAAGATTGTATTTGTGTGTGATTTCTTAGTTCTTAGTTCTAATAAAAGATAACATTGATGAACCAAGAGTTCTAGAGTTTTGCATTTTTTTTGTCTCAGACCAACATGGCTACCAAATGCATCCCTGCAACATGGAAGAGGCTGAATTTTAGCTGATTTTGGATTTAAACTTCATTGCTGAACAACAAGAAAGATTTCTACACCTCTCTGCCTGTTTGCCATCTGACACCACCAGAGAAGGAATCCTTCCTTATCTGCACAATGAACAGCAACTCACAAAGACACTCTCATGGACCCAGAGGAACAGACCTCCATCTTCAGCTTTCTCTGTGGAAAAACAAAGTTTATTTCCTACCTATGGAGACTTTTTACCATCTTTAATTTCCCCTGAGCCTGATGAAGGGTGTGAGCGCCCAAAAGCTTGCAAAAAAAAAAGGTTTTTAGTGATTCCTTAGTTGATCTAATACAGAGTCACCATACGTCCAGGTTTTCCTAGACATGTCCTCTTTTTTGGGCCCTGGCTGGGAGCAGCAGGCAAGGTGATTGGCCAGGGCTGGGGGTTGGGAGTCAGGGGCACTGGCAGCCTTGGGGGTAGGAGGCTGTGGGTTAAGAGTAAGGTGGGCTGGCAGGGCTGGAGGGCGGGGGGCAGAGGCTTAGGAGTGAGGGGCAGAGGCAGGGCATAGGCATAGCATGGCCCCCCCACAATCATATATCCCACCCCCCTCTCCTTCCCTTCTTATCCCCTTCCCCTCACAGATGCTAGAAATTTGATAACCCTATGTAAAAGGCAACATCTCTTAACCAAGAGTTGTAGAGTTTTGCATTTGTTTTTGTCTCAGACCAACACAGCTACCAAATACATCCCTGAAACATAGGGATTTCAAATTTGACCATGTTATATTTTCTTGAACTATTGACAGTTCAAGAACTCTGTCATTTAGACTCCTTTCACATGCTATAAAACAGCCTAGATGTGTTGTTGATCTTTTGGGTGTACTCCAAACTCACTTTTTTAAAGCAGCTCTTGTGGTAGGGTGAGGGTGTTCTGCAGAGTGGAATATTACTTTGCGCTGCTCTATGGGTCTACTTTAATTGCAGTTCTCTACCTTGTTGTGGAACTGGATTTTGTGTTTTGAGAGAAACTTCACAGTCTCAAAGTGGTTTTTTGTTTTTCTTTTTTTTTCTTATTCTGAATCATAGAACCATAGAAAAGTAAAGAGGGAGGGACCTCAAGATGTTATTCTAGACAAATGTTTGTTGCTGGCATGCATCAACCGATGCATCTTGTGTAAAACTAAGGAAGTGATATTCCCACTGTACTCTGCACTAGTGAGACTGCAGTTGGAGTACTGCATCCAGTTCTGGGTGCCACACTTCAATAAGGATGTTGAAAAATTTGAGAGGGTCCAGAAAAGAGCCACCTGTATGATTAGGGACTTGCAAGGCAAGCCATATGAGGAAAGGCTGAGGGACCAGCTTACCACTATATCAGAGGGGTGCATCAGGAGCTCAGTGAACTAGGGCACCCCCAGGGAAGACCAGAACCAATGGATACAAACTCCTGGAAGGCTGCTTCAAGCTTGATACCAGGAAAAACTCCTTCACAGTCAAGGTGACCAGACTGTGGAATAAACTCCCTTCAGTGGTGGTGCAGTCACCTACCCTAGAGGCTTTCAAGAGGAGACTGGACATTCACCTCGCTGGGGTCACTTAACCCCAGTTGTCTTTCTGCCTAGAACGGCAGGGGCAGACCTGATGATCTGCAAGGTTCCTTCCAGTCCCTAACAATCTATGAATCTATGAACTTCAGGTATCCAGGTTGTAGACATATTGGGCTAGAGGAAAAGACAATCAGGACTCATAGCAAAGACAACATCTTTTATTGGACCAACAAGATGTTTGCAAAAAAAATTATTTAATTGCAAGCTTTCAGGCAAAAACACCCTTCATCAGGCATTGGAGA